AAAATTGTTTTCTGAAATTTATATGGAAATTTAAAATGAAAATGGATTAGAAAGTGTTGGTATCGGGCCCGTATTTTGGTTCCGGCGCCCGGTACAGGTCTTATATATGGTTTAAGCGCTTCCTGTGAAATTTGGTCGAAATCAGACGTCATTTGACGTGTTTCGGACCTAAACCTCTAAAAATGATAGTTTATGAAGTTTGATGAAAAAGTGATGATTTTGAGGTTTAATTCATTGTTTTAATGTTATTTTGGCGATTTGATCGCACGGCTAAGTTCGTAGGATATTGTTGAGTTAGTGTGTGTGTTTGGTTAGGAGCCCCGAGGGTTCGGGAGTGTTTCGGAGGTGTTTCGGGATGTTTTGAACTTAGGAAAAGTATCAGATTTTCTGCAATTTTTGCACGGGCTTTTTCTTCTTCGCGATCGCGGCCTTCAGCTCGCGTTCGCACTGCCTGTGGTGTCCCCTTCTTCGCGTTCGCATTCAATTTCATGCGTTCGCGTAGTGCCAGCCCCCCCTCAACGTGTTCGCGTATTCATTCACGCGTTCGTATAAGCCAAAATCTGGGACCCCAGTAATTAACTCTACGCGTTCGCAGACCCCATCGCGAACGCGATGCTTCCAGTTCCCCCTGCTTCGCGAACGTGACCCCTGTGTCGCGAACGCATAGGGAATTTTTGCCCAGTTAATTTAAAAGCCTAAAAACAGAACTGTGACGGGTTTTATTCAAAAATTCACACGAGCTCTTCTTCTCCACAGCCCCTAGGCGACTTGTAGAACGATTCTTCACCAAATCTTCTTGGGTAAGTATTATCTAACTCGTTTTCTTCATTTTCTATCATCATTCATTGAAATCCTAGGCCTAAAACATGTAATCTAGGGTTGAAATTGGGGGAAATGGGTAGAATTAGGGCTTTTCAATTTTCTTTGATTTAGACCTCGTTTTGGGGTCGAATTTAAAAACAAATTGTATATTCGGGCTCGTGGGTGAATGGGGGATTTGAAATTTGTTCAAACCTCGTATTTTGACCAAGCGGGCCCGGGGTCGATTTTGAAATTTTTGGAGGAAAGGTTGGGAAACTATATCTAGGCATTGGGTTTGATTTGTTTAGCTATTATTGATATTATAAAGTCGTTATTTCATAGATTTGATTGAGTTGGAGCCGAATTCGAGGGGGAAAGCGGTCGTTGTGGATTGATTTAGCCGTGGAAGTTAAGGTAAGTGTTTGGTCTAACTTTGGCTTGAGGGAATAGGAGTAGAGTCTTATTTGCTAATTGCTATTTGTCGAGTACGGTGTATAGGCATGGTGACGAGCATCTATACACTGGTGTCTAGCATGACCGTGTGTCCTTATATTGAGATTATCCTGAAGTTGTTGTGATTCTCCCATGCTTATTTGATGATTTCTATATACTGTAAAGAGCATGAGACAGAGATTATGATTACTACACTCTGTGGAGCATTGGCTCGAGTTGTGTTACGGATTGAGAAGGTATATGAGATGAAATGACTCTTTGGAGCGATGGCTCGAATGATAAAGTGAATTAAAAGTGAGAAATGTAAGAAAAAGGGAGAGTTGATGGTTATTCCCTTGCCGGAAATTTAGTTGTGTTGTTATATTCCCTTGCCGGGATTTCTTCTTACTAGTTGTTGCTCCCTTATCCCTTGTTTGTGGTTGTTGCCTGGGTGAGGTTTTGTTAATTATATGTGGATCGGGTTGCACGCCGCAACAGTGATAATTGTGGATCAGG